TTGACTTCATTGAGCTCACCTGTAAAATGGGAATAACCCTATCTCAAAGAGTTGTGAAGATGAGATAATATTTGTCAAGTTCTTAGAACAGTGCTTGGCACAAGTTAAACACTCAATAAATACCAGCTATTATTATTTGCATAGTTGAGGCACTTTCTGAGAAATAAGAAACAAAGACCTCAGATGATCCAGGAAGTGATTTATTCTATTTAGTTATCATTATGGAGACATATGTATAATCTTTATTCACTAAAGAAACTACACAACTATAGGGCATGGCTGCCCGCTTCCCGGTCTTGGGGCCGCACATGTGGCTGGGAAGGCTCCTGGTGATCAGCCAGGAGGCAGTGCTGTGGGTGGTGACAGAAAAAGTGGACCACCTCCAGGATAGGTCCAGGACTCTTCCGCTGCCCTCGTGGACAGCTCGTGTCTTCCCTTACGGACTATGGGATGAGTGTACACGTGAACTTGCTCCACCCCTCTGACTTTTATTCTGATTGGCTTCTGTGCAATATATAAGCTGTATGTACTTCCTCAATAAATGAGATCCATCTCCCTGGTGCCTCTGATTGTCCTCCAGCAAGGGAGGGCTGGGTGCAGGCTGCCAGTCCTGTTCAGGGTGTGCTTTCCCTGCTGGTCAGGAGTGGGGGGGGGGAGCTAAAAACCCCGACACACGACAACTAGGGCTCTTGTGGAGTCTGATACAATTAAATTCACATATAAGATACTGTGAAGATAAACCAGTTCTTCAAAATGTCTCAAGTAATTTGAGCACTAGTGTATAAATGTTCACAGTAATTCCACAATAAAGAAGTAGGATAAATTATGAAACCACATCCTAATCCAAGTCTTTGCATTAGATTAGCAATGGAAAGAACTAGGTAATATGGGTGTCAGATATTTATTATCAGATATTTATTAAATGTTTACCATGTATCAGCCACACAAACATAAATACTGAATACATTTACATGAATATCAATATGCATGTATGCAAGAAAGAAAAGCTCCAAAATGTCTTTTTAAATTATAGTACTTTGTGGGGCTGGGGTTGCGGCTCAGGATAAAGCGTCAGCCTAGTGCAAGTGAGGTATTGGTTTTGATCCTCAGTACCAATACAAATAAATAAAATAAAGGTATCGTGTCCATCTACAACTTAAATTTTTTTAAAAAAATTATAGTACTTTAAAAATGTTTCCTATTAGGCTATTTGATTAAGAGTTCTATCCTTGCCATAAAGGGCAGAAAACTGATGGTTGTAAATCTACATAAAATGAAAACTGGAGCAAAGTTCAGCATTGTAGTTCAGCTAACACATCTGGTTAATGATGGTCATTAACCCAAATTATAATACAAAAGAAAACAGCTCAAATTTGAAATTACAAAATTGATATTATTGTAATAATCACAAAGGCTGGTAAACTTTTAGAACTGGTGTGCATGGCAGAAATAGTAATAATTTCATTTTCAACTCTGGTCTTCCAGTGATCTGAATTTAGATGTGCTTCATGAATGCTTGCAGTAATAATAAATCCCAGTTCCTAGAGATGCTAATTAAATCCCATTATATATCAATTATACCATCACAACCCAAACTGGACAAAGAGAAAAATCATGGTTTTTGATTTACTTACTTCAAGAAAACTAAAAACAAAGAAATTATTTATATAGCCCAAATATAATGAGACAACTATATTAGAACTTGACTTAAGCAGCATAACAAAATTTTGACAATTAAAAGGAAAATAAAGTATCTTGCCTTATGCTTAAGAAACCATCTGTATAGCTACTGCCATAGCTACAGCTGTGATAAATATAGTTAAGAAGTCCCCTGAATTTGCTCAATAAAAAGATTTTAAGCTTTGGATATAAGTATGATCTAATGTGGAGTTTGAATATCTGAGGTATCCTAAAGAGTCTGCCCACTTTTCCTTCAATAAACACATCTCTTTTATACCTCAGAGATATGTACCCTCTTGCCTTTATGTCTTCCATAAAGACATCTCTTTACACCTCAGACACCTGTGTACCTAGTCTGAAAGCCACTGTTCTAAAATGAGCCAAATGTCATTAAACACACATTCAATTAATGTTTAGAATGATGTAAAACCATGTCAGCCAGAAGGTAATGTTATGTCATGCTTTTATTTTTTCTATACAGCTAAGGGGTCTCCATGTGCAGAGACATAGAAGAAATAGGTATAAAAGTTAGAATTTGGACATTTGGTTGCCCTTTGATAAAGGATCAAACTTCACTGGAAAGTGTTAACAAACCTGGCTAGACATACACCAAAAACCTACGTGGCTCATAATTTAATTCTATGAGTATATTTTGTCTAAATGTGCAAATTGCAGAAAGTCATTTCCAGTCCATTAAATACATTTATTTTGACACAAAAAGAATTGCTGTGATATTAACTGTCTCCCATAGCCTGAATGTAAGCTCCATGCAATTCTGGGCTTCAGATTCCAATAAAGGATTACAGGTTACCTTGGTGCATTAATCAGAATCCACTTACATTTTTGACCACAAGACAAGGGCCAACTGAAGAATAATTTCTCTGCTTCTGCCAATACTAGCAACTGTTGTGAATAAATGCATCATAAGAAAAGCAAACTAGATCTTGGGAACTCTGACTGGTGAAGGGTAATCAGAGGGTAGGAGAATAAGTAATCCTTTCAGATGCTGACTTTTTAAGCTTGACTAGATTAGTAAAAGTTTTCGTAACAAGTTCTTTGAGCTCTGTAGACCACTCCCTAGAGTACAAAAGTCATCTTGCTTACAAAGTACTCTGTTTGCCACCGCTTTTACAAGGACCATTTGAAGAATTAACACATTAAAGGTCCCACCACACTTTTCATCTTAAAGAAGAATGATTTAAGAGAAAAACAGATGCAAATCTATCTGAAGGGAGAAGATGTGATGCCACTTGGAAAACATTTATATTTGTAATAATCAATATTTAAGAGACACAATATTTGACAATGATGATCATTCTGATCATACTATTACACTACTCCTGTGACCGCATAAGCCAAGTTCAAAGGCTAAAAATGATTTCAGTTAAGATGTAAAGCTCAAGTATAGAGTCTTCTTGTGACACAGCCAAAACATTAACAATATCAGACACCACAGTTACTGATTTAGACAAAAGGTGCTCTAATGAAATCCTCTATGTAACAATTCTATTTCTTATACTCTTAGGAGAGACCCCAGTGTTCCTGTATGCTCTCTGAGCTCCTTCTTATTACAGTAGCATTCTGGTACTTGCTAAGCGTATGATCATTAGCATTATAAAAGACATTCACCAAATAAAATGGATAATATACACTGAGATGCAAAAATATTGAGCCATCCATGAGTACCTCTTGCGTTTTCTGCCTTAATTGACTGTCCATATTCCCTGGGAATCAATGAATGCCTAACGTAATCTCCACCTTCATTTTAAAATGAGATGTTTAGATGGATGTGGTGGCATACACCTATAATCTCAGATACTCAGGAGGCTGAGGCCAAAGGATTGCTGGGACTCATGGGTTTGAGTTTGTTCTCATAGTGAGAAACCCCCATCGAAGAAAAAAAAGTGGCAGTGGGGGTCAGGAAAGTGAGACTTTTCAAGTAGGGTATTTTTACATGTCAAATGAAGAGATATAAATTAATATGGAAAAACAATTAATGGAATGGGAAAACCAAGAGCTAATAAGACTAACTTAGCATGATGACTTAGAGAAAGAAAGAATATGATTTCTCTATTTGAATTTGTAATACTTGACAGAAATGCCCAATCTATAACATCTAAATAGTGGTAGTCTTAAGAACTTACTATTTACAGTCACTGCTAGCTTCCCCTGTCCAAAAAGCTTTTTTTTCCCTAAGACACATTCTATAAGATCCTAAAGAGTCTAATAGATAACACTAGGAATGCTGAAAGCAACACTACCTACTCAGACCTATTTTGCCAAGAAATAGGCCATTTATCTTATTGGGGACCTGTCATTTCTTTCCTCTTCTGAAACTATGTTACTTTTATGTCAACAGGGCATAATTTGTACATTTAAAAAAACAAAAAAAACCCCAAACCAAAACTCCCCTAAAACCAAATTTTCAGATTATGATTGTCTATTCTTGATCACTTCATACTACAGAAGACTATCAATAGAAAACAGAGCACCTCAACATTACTGATAATGCCAAAAAGGAAGGGAATATCTTTTTAATGTTTTGTAATGGAATCCAGCAAAAACTGCTCAGATAATTACTAATGAATAGAAACTAAGAAATTTACTTGAGATGGAGATTGACGGGGAATGAAAAGGATGGGGAGAGAGCAGAAGGAATGATAGGTGGTTTGTCTTGGAGTTTGGCGGGGCAGAGAATTAGTGATTTTAATTTGTAAGCACTGACTCTGACTTCATAGTTTCAGATTTGCCTTTTTGGTGCACTGACTAAACTTGTTAAAAAATGATCCATAAGAGTATGTTTGATTAGAATTCAATGTGGAGCCAGACTTCTTCCTTTGTTGCATTATTTTTTTGACTTGTAAGAGTTTTTATGTAAGGGAGTTGATCATAATGTATGAAACTTAACATTTAGAGTTCCGAGAAAGACCGAAATATCAAATAACCAAGTTAAATTTGGTCTTGGTTAGAACATATAAAATCTCTTATGGAAAAGAAGGAAAACAGTAAGCAGTAATGTTTTTAGTAGATGATAGACTTCTAAAATCACCAGCTCTCTTAGTACTTGAGAGAAGATAATGAACATGTTGAAAACATCATGCAACTGAACATTTCTTGCAATATTATCCTTCCTCAATCACTTAAAGTCATTCTCTAAGGCACTTGCTATAAAACTGCCTCAAAAAACACCATTAAAAGGAAAGCTTCCAAATCCACAAGAGAAAAGAAACATTGGAAAATGAAAGACAAAGGAAGTGAAAGGCAAATAACCAACTGATAGGCACAGCAATAGTTAGGTGAAAAGAAACTTGATACTATACTTTGGTTTTGCATTTTTGTATTCTTCAGTGTCTGTATCCTCGTCCTCTGAGTACCAATTATCTCCTCTTCCTCCAGCCAAGAGGCCCCTGGCCGCCAACAGTCCTGCAGCATTCCCATAGCCAGTATATTTCAGCAGGCTATCCACTGCAAAACAGAACAGGGTTTTAGACAGGAGTTTATGGGTGCTTACCATCATCATCAACCACTCACACCCAATGTAGGGAGGAAGGTGTGTGGAAGTGGTTATGCCGAATTTTCAACAAATTGTTTTATATGTTTTGAGGACTAAGAGCTTTTTTTTTTTCAGAAAAAGAAACTTAACAGCTGATCCAAACACACTTTTGGCAGAAGTGGGGCCTCTGTGACTGCTGGGTCACTGGTAAGGATCATGTTGCAATAATAAAGTTTCTGATCTTAAATCTTACATTTCTAAAATTCAGTTTAAGAAAAATCATAAGAAACTAGAAATAATAAAGGTCAAATTTGGATTTTACCAATATGGTATGTAATGTATTCTTTGTAAGACTAGGAGGTAAAAGGTGTAAGAAATAAGAAAATTAAGGATATTAGTAAATAAGTTAATCTAATATACTACTCTAAAAAAAAAAAAAGCAACAATATGTAAACACAAGAAGCCCAATGAGAAGATAGGTCCAGAGCTAGACAGACAAGGTTCCAATTAGGACTCTACCACTTAGTTGACTTTGGGTAAGAGATCCTGCAACCACCCCACTTTTCAAATCTGTAGGAGTGAAATAATAACCATCTACTCCACAAGTTAATACCTACAAGGGATTTAGCAAAGCATCTGGTTAAATTCATTCTATTTCTCTAGTAATACTGGGTAAAAGAATTATTTCAGGAACACCCTCCCCCACCAAAAAAAAACTCAAAACAAAAAAACACCCAATGACTCTCAGTGGATGCTGGATAGGATTACATCAGAATTTAAAACGCATCATGTAACCTGAAAGCCCTCTGAATAAATCTGATATGCCCCATCTTGTGACAGTGGGTCCCCAAGATAAAGTGATTTAGATAAATTAGTGAATCATTAAACTAGGGGAAGAAATCAAAATTCAGTGTATATAGGTATTTTTAATATTCTTGGAGGTCAGACATGAACTTAATGCATGTTCAGATACAAAGCCATTGATGATGTAGATCACAGATTTAAACCAACATAGCACTGATGCTCTCACTGCAAGCATTGCTGATAAGGCTTATTTTCATTTTTTTTTTTTGTGCTAATCCCAAGGCTGTGTGTATGTTAAACACATGCTCTATCACTGAGCTACACTCCAGCCACAGTCTTACGATTTTTTTCTCCAGGCTTATTATTATTTAAATAAATAAGGATATTTAATGCTTCCATAAAAATAATATTCACTGAAATCATTAAAGTCTAAATTGTGGCAACACGAATAAATGGTTTAAATGAATATACTTAAAAACTAACAGCAATTTAAAATGACACATAGCATTTAGCTAAAGATTAAAATACTTTAAGAACACAAACATGATGAAAGTCCAAATAGACTAAACAAAAGTAAATATAATTCCAAATGACTGCTTTTTTTATACAGAAAATCCTTCTGAAAGCCAGTTAATAGTAAAAATGCCTGACATTTTAGTGAAAATATTTATTGTTCTTTCACTGGAGCAAACATGTGCCAACTCTGTGATAGGCAGTGTGGGTTACAAAGATGATTTAGGACACACTTTGCCTTCAAAACAGTTAAGGCCGCAGCCAATAGTTTTAAAGGCAAATGAACTTTTGTTAAAGAGATAAAATATTTGAAAGTGGGGGTGAGAGAGAGGGAGATGCAAAATTCTCAATGAGAAGCACTGATGGAGTGTTTGACATTATTTTTTAGTCTATTTTTGAATAAACTATATAATATCCTATTTGATATTGGGAAAGTAGAAAAGGAAAAATGACTGACCTTGGATATTAAGGTAAGCTGCTAAGACAAAGAAAAGATTTCTGATGGTCCTAAATGTACTCTCTTACACACACACACACAATTTATTCTTTGTCATAATAATTATCCATATAGTTATATAAAAATGTTACCGAAATGAAATAATTCAGCATTTAGGCAGAAAGTAGCATTTCACTACTCTTTTACCAGGATGCTAGAGGGTATTCTACGAACACAGGCGAGCAACCAGGGCAGCACAGTGAGAGCTACACAGGTAGTCAAGAAGAAAAGAGTGGCAAAACCAATCTCCCCAGATACCATTCTCCTTTCTCTGTATAGATCTTTTTCTTTCTGGTCAAATACTGCAACTTTTAGATATCCATACTAGTAGTTTTCTCTACCTAGTGTCTTTATTCCAGAGTTGCATTTCTCTATTCCTTATTACACATAACTGCCCAAGACATCTTTGTAAAGCATGATTCCTTCCATTACGGGCTAAACTCAAATACCAAAACAGGGTCTACAGGGCTCTTCATTTGGTGGCCTTTGCCTCTTTTCCAAATTCATCTTGTATACTGTGGACTTCTCACATCTTGAACTAGTCCCCCACCTCCCCGAATCTACTAGTTATTTTCCATTTCTTTGTATTCTTTTGCAAAGACATTCTCTGACTTTCACACTCCCTAATCATTCCCTCAGTCAGGCTACCATGTTACCTGGCACATTTCTCTCTTAGGGAACTTACTACAGTATAATGAAATTATTATTTTTTTATATGGAGAAATACACAGGATGGCATACGTTCTAGATTGGATTTATAGAGAGCACAAATACTTCTCTTTGATTAAACATTTATGGGGCATTCACTTTCTGTAAGGTTCTTTGTTAAGCATGGTGGGATCCAGAGATGAGTACAATATGATCTCTAACTTAAAGAGACTTAATGTCTAGAATTCAAGCTCAACCAATAAAGAGTGACAACATGGCAAATGTCAAAAGTTTTAAAAACATAAATAAATAAAACTACCATAAAGGAAAGAATGATTTACTTTGCTTGTGATGGTCAAAGAAGTCTTAAGAGATGAGGCTCAAGCTGATCTTCAAGGACACCCCATGATAAAGTTCACCCCTTGATAACAAAAATGGGAAGGCATCCCATGAATAAATAAAGCATTTAGTATGATTAAGCAGAAACAGCTGTAAAATACACTATACAGGTAAACCATGATTTGGATTTTGCTATGCCGGTGACAGGAAATCATTTAAAGTTTTACATGAGGGAATGACAAGATTATATCTGTTGATTATATCAGTCCCTCTGTTAGCTATGTAAAAGATAAAATGAAGAAAACCTGACTAGAAACAGACTTACTTAAATAGTTTAAGAAAATAATTTTAAGGGCCTGTACCAAGGTAGTGGTGTGAGAACAGAAAGAAGGGGAATAAATAAAAGAGGTATTTAGGAGGTAAAATATATATGATGTGATTATTAATCTGCAGGTAAAAAAGAAATTTGGGGTAATCCTGGCCTTTTGCCTTTAGCGATTAAATAGAAAATGTGACTTTCACAGAAAAAGTGACCAAAGGATAAAGAAAATGTTGGGGAGAATGGTAATGGAGATAATGAACTCAACTTTAGACATTAGTTGAAGTCACCTGTGAGAAACTCAAGTGCAGTTGTCAATGAGCAGGTAGATAAATATGACAGGTTCAGGAAAAAGGTTGGGGCTGGAGATAGAGATTTGGGAAGCTACTCAGCAAAAAGGCTGAAGCAAAAGCCAAGGGAGAGAATGAGATTACTCAGGGAGCAAAATAAAGTGAGAATGAGGCCAGAAGATGACTGTAAAGAGCACTGGGAATTAAATATGGAAAAGACAGAAATCAGTAAGAGAGACTGAAAAAAAAAAAAAGAAAAGAAAAGAAATGGGGGTGGGGGTCAATAGATAATCTAGAAGTGTGTGGTAGCACAGAAACGATACAAGTTGTCAGCATTGTCAACTGTTGAAGAGTTATAGACAGATATAAAGAAGACCTTAGAAATTGCTGGCTTTTACCAAGTTGAAGACTGAGTAAGGAAACTGAAAAGAAAAACAGATAAGTCTTACAAGACGCCAAAATCTGAAGGACAATGATATGTATGTATATAGTTTGAGGAAAGCACATGGGGAGAATAAAGAAAAAAAAATAAAGAGTAAAAACTGATGAAGCAAAGCTTCTGCAAAGACAGGAAGAGAAAAGATCAACAGGAAGAGAGAATGTTTAGCTCCAAGCTAGACACCTATTCCTCTGAGACTTAAGTGGAGATTAAAGTAAATTTGTAAGTGTGGAGGGCTACATGCTGAGGGAGTTCAAGTCTAATCTTTGAGCAAATACATTAAAGGGGCGGGGGGAGAACCAAAGTAGGAGACTATTTTCACAAATTATTTTCTTTTGATTAAACTACAAAAAAATCTATCTTTAGGTTCCCTGTAGAAAGAACCCAATTTGCAGAGTGATCCTAAAAGTTTAGTTATGGCAGGGTAAAGAGAACAAATTGGTGGCACAAGCACAAAGTTAGCCTTTTGGCGACTATCAGCTGGAGATGCCACTTTGCTTGGCACAGATGAGTATTTAAGACACCTGGAATGTTCCTTTTGTGCCTAATCTTCCATAAGATTTTGCATGCTGTATCTCATCTTATTTTAATTTCCTTCTTTACTTCTATTCTCTGTGTTCCTAACCCAATTTGCTTATGCTTACAGTCTCTACCTTGCCGTCTGAGCTTTGAGCATTGATCAAAGTACCTTCCTTCACTTTCAAACTGAGCTATGCCTATCCTAAAGAGGAAAGCTCAGTTACTCTGACAAATTATTTGAAATCTATTTCATTTTGATAGTCTCTCCAAACCCAACTTCCAAAAATCTGATGACTTAAATTGAAGGTAGACTCCTTTTTTTTTGGCCCAAAGTTTTACATTTGAATTAGCTGACATTTAGAAACAGATTTTATGTAACTATCCAGTGTTCTAGTTTCTCTTGAAAAACTTGGAAGATCTGGTAACACATTTGATTGTTCATGGTAACAGTAAGTTGAAGTTGAACTGCAACATCCCTTTTCCAACCCCTTAGTGTCCCCACTGTCTCTCCAATAGTGAGTTGCTGGAAAATATCAGTTTTTATTCATCATCTTATATCTAGTCTACCTGGCTAACTTTTTTCTTTTTAAATTTTTTTTTTTGTAATTGTAGATGGACAGATGGACAGAATGCCTTTATTTTATTTTTAAGTGGTGCTGAGGTTTGCACCCAATGTCTCACACATGAGAGGCAAGCGCTCTGCCACTGAGCTACAGCCCCAGCTCCCAACTGGTTTACTTTTATCACTAGCCTAGCTGCTATAGGCATTTGAGTCTGTGACTCCTTAGGGCAGAGACCCGTTTATCTTATGTATCTCAAAAATCCCATGGTTTAGCTCAAAAAATATTTTTGAATGACTGGATTTTTATTCCAAAATAATACATCTATACACCTGTGCTAATGTGGATTTGCTTTTGGGCTCAAAGTCACAACTACAAAATACTGGGTCTATAAGGGAATAAAGCCAACCATTTCAAATGGAAGAAAAATTTATAATAAATGAATATACCACATGTGCTACAACACTAACTCATCAGTAAGGTGATTATAGTTAGTTATATATATATATATTTAGTTATGCATTTATCTAATGCAATATTTAGACATAATAACTGTAGGAGAAACACACTTCATTTTAGCCTTTAAAAATTTTTTTTTATAAAGTATATAAGGGATACATGTTCCTTGTAGAAAAATTATAATACAGAGAACTAAAAAAGAAAAAACCCACCAGTAATCTTACTATGCAGAGGTAACAATATCAATAATAAAATATTATCACATCATATTCATTATAATATCTTGACAAACCTTATTATTTATTCTTATTGTGGCACTGGGGATTGGACCCAGGGACACTCTACCCCTGAGCTACATTCCCCAGCCCTTTTTTATTTTGAGACAGGGTCTCACTATTTTGCCCAGGCTGGCTTCAAACTTATGTTCCCTGCCTCAGGCTCCTCAATCATATTGATTATAGGCATGCACCACCAGGTCTGACTTTGACAAACCTTTTTCAATTAACAGGTACATATACAAGTACTTTAGATTTATGTACATACACATACTTAAAAAACAGATTTTTGATCTCAGAAAAATTGATTCAATTTAGTCAATACTTATAGACAACTATACACAAGACATTATGATAACCACTTTGTTCCAAGATGATAATTCAATCTTTTTTCAAAGCCATCAAGGAAGAAAATTGTTCAAAAGAGCAGAAGAAACTGAAATAATATTAACCTTAGAGGGTTCTTTTGAAAATAACATGACTTATGCATAGAATGTCAGGCACATGATACCTCTACTTCATAAGAGCTATGCTTATTACCATTATGATAACGATCAAATCATGTTGCTAGTACACTATCTGAACAGGAACTTAAGTATTCAGATCAATGTTAAGAAATAAAGTTGAGAAATATAGTTGACTTAAGAGTTTTAGAGAAGTGCACTTTTTTTTTAATATATATTTTTTAGTTGTAGGTGGACACGATACCTTTATTTTATTTTTATGTGGTGCTGAGGATCGAACCCAGTGTCTCACGTGTGCCAGGCAAGCGCTCTACCACTGAGCCACAACCCTAGCCCTGAGAAGTAAACTTTTTCATCTTCAAATTATCTATCTCATAAAACTTGAGTCTTTCAAAAAAATGGAATAAAAAATATGCTTATATGGGATTTTATATTAGGATATTTATAAACTAGAAGAAAGAAATACATGTGAATATCTGAGATCCTTTACTTAAAGAACCCAAATTAATACAGAATATTGAAATTAGCTGAAATTTTCTGGGAACTCCAATTTTCTCCTCCCTAAACCTCTTTTTTTTAATTGTTCTTTTTAGATATCAGGACTATAGAGTATATTTTGACATATTATGCATACATAGAGTATAACTTATTCTAACTAGGATCCCATTCTGTGGTTGAACATGATGTAGCACCTGAATTATTATACAGACTTTTCATAATGGCTCCAGGTCCTGCCCCATCAAGATTAAGAAGTTTGCAATAAAGATACAGAAAGTATAAACGTATGTGCTTGGCAATGTATCTGTCTTTGTGTGTCTTAATGAATTCAGAAGCATATAAAATGCTTTTTAATTTTTTGTTTTTTTGGTACTGGGGATTAAACCCAGATTCACTTTATTACTGAGCTACATCCAAGCCCTTTTTATTTTGAGAGAGGGTCTCACTAACTTGTTATTCTCCTGTCTCAGCATCTCAAGTAACTGGGATTACAGGTGTGTGCTACCATACCCAGTTTATAAAATGTTTTTAAGTTGTTTATTTATATTATCTTCTCGGCCCCTCTAATATGTTAGATAGTAAGCTCTGGTCAGGGTGGAAAAAGATGGCTACTACCAACAGGAAAATTCCTCAAGTTCCCTCCAAAAGATAAAAAGCAGGAGGCAAAGAGAGTTTAACCTACCTCTCTCTTTGCAAAGGACAAAAAGGAATTCAGCAGCAATTTGCTTGACTCCAAGGTCAACATGTGTCATGAGGCGCACCAGCTTATTTCTCACAGTTGAGCCAACTTCAGGTCGATTTGTCACATCCCTCAATGGTGGTAAAACCTGATGGCACAAATGAAAAAACCATCATCAATTGAGGGTACCTGAGTCTTTGAGGATGGTTGGTCTTGCAATTGGTCGGTCTTGCAATATTTACTGGGCTTAATTTTATAAGAGTGAAAAAATAAACAAATATATGTTAGCTTCTAAATAAAATTAAACAACAAAAATAAAACAAACTTCAAATAATTTGATGCCTGTAATGAGGCTTCATTTGAACAGCATCATCTCTGCTATATCACCAGGGTCTCCTAAAGGCATTTCCAAACTTTTACTCATCTCAACACCTGGAATGCTGTTTCTTGCCCCTATCAAAATCCATTTCAACGTCTGATTCAAGTTTCTCCTTTGTCCACAGAAACTTCCTTAATATCCAGAGTCATATTGATTTCTTCATTATTTTAAGTCTGAAGCATTCAATAAAAAACCACACTTATGCTTTCTTGATGTTTATAATAAAAAACTGGCTATTATGGGTTAAGCTTCCCTAATAAGAAAATCTGAAGTACTTCTAAATCCAAAACTTGTTGAGCACTAAGAGGATGCCACAAATGGAAAATTCCACACATGAGAGGAAAATTGACTTCATGTGACAGATCACAGTCAATCATGGGTAGACAAAACATAGTATAAAATTACCTTCAGGCTGGGTGTGATAGGGCACACCTGTAATCCTAGCTATTTGGGAGGCTGAGGCAGTGGGATTGCAAGTTTGAGGCCAGCCAGGGCAACTTAGTGAGACCCTGTCTCAAAATAAAAAAACTTTTAAAAAGGGATGGGGATGTAGCCCAGTGGTAGAGCACTCCTGGGTTCAATCCCTCATATCAAAAGCAAAAAACAAATGTAACAAAATAAATAAATAATCCTTCAGACTATGTATATAAGGTACATAACAAACATAAATGAATTTCCTGTTTGGACTTGGGTCCCACTGCCAAAATATCTCATTATGTTTATATGCAAATATTTCAAAATCAACCTAATTTCAAGCATTTTTGGTGAGAGATATTCTGGGCACTTTCTATGTGTTAGTTGTGGTAATAGAGGTCTACGTACATTATTTATAATCCTTGCAGTAACTCTGAAAAGAAGTAACAACAGGACCCTCATCCCTATTTTATAGATCTATCCTCAAAGGGTTAGTGTCACTTGCCTACTTTGTCTGTTCCTTTGTTTGCTCACTCATCCAAACATCCACCCAAATACTTCTCTCTGGCTGTCCTATGAGAGAAGCTACTTTGTCTGAGCCCTTTTCTGTCAATTCTCTTATCTCTTCTTGTCTTGTAAATCTTGGAATATTCAAGTGTTGAGTTCTTGAGTAACTCTTCTTTGTTATATTCGCTCACACTGTTGGTGGTCTCATCCAATTTAATAGTTTTATACAATCTCTACCTCCTCATGACTCTTGAATTTATGTTGGCATGTTGATTTCTTTCAGACTTCAAGGTTTTTTAAAATCACTGAATAGAAATGTATTATAGGATTTTACAAAGTGCTATGGAAAGTAATAGGTAAATGTAAGGACAAATTATATTAAAATTAACTTTCATTTTTAAGATTACATCTACAATGACAGAGAATATTCAACATAATACAATATTTAATATGCTGCGACCACCTTCTTTACAGACTGATTACAGAGCAAATCAGTGTCATGAAGACACTCTAACCTTTATGCTAGTGCATTTCAGTCTGTAATGTACATTCCAAATACCTATGGATGTTGTTAAAATGCAGATTCTGATTCAGTAAATCTTGGTGGGACCTATAATTCTGCATTTCTTTTTTTTTTTAAAACACTGGTGGCAAATTTGTGTGCATATAATCCAGTATTGTTAACTATCTGTACAATATTGTACAACAGGTTTCTAGAATTTAGTCATTTTATGTAACTGAAATTTTATTATATCCATTGAATAGATATAAAATCCCTAACCAGAGAATCTGACGTGCTCCCAAATCCAAAACTTGTTGAGCATTAAGAGAAGCCACAAATGGAAAATTCCACACATGACAGGAATATTGACCTCATGTAATATGTCACAGTCAATCATGGGTAGATGTTATATTGTGTAAAATCCATACTATCCCCAAGCCCTTGGTAAACACTAATTCCACTCTGCTATGACCTCCAGATTTTTATAGACTCTTCAAATTTAGCATGTCCTAAATGGGACTCTTGATGCTCCCACCAAAGCTCCTCATACAGTTTTCCGTCTCATTAACTGTTAATTAAAATTCATTCTTCCAATTGCTAAGTACGAAAACCTTGGAAATATCCTTCACTCCTTTTTCATTCCCCATATCCATCTACTAGCAAATTATGTTGGCTCTATTTCTGAAACATACCCATAATCCAACCACTTTTCACTACCAAGTAAGTCCAAGCTACCAATACTTCTCACCTGGACGAATATCATAGCCTCTAAGTGGTCCCTGCTTCTATCCTGCTACTTCTACGATTCTATACACAGCAGCTAGGATCATCTTTTGAAAGTCAGGTCATGTCACTCCTCAGAGTGTTCCAGTTTCCATGACTTCCCATCTCTCTCATAGTAGAAGGTAAGGTCCCCATAACTCCCTTATGAGGTGACATACAATCATTTCCTGCTATTTCTTTGACTTTGTTTTTACTATTCTCCTGGCTTATACTACTTCAGCTATACAGACTTCCATGGAATTTCTTAAACATGCCAAGTATTTTCTTACCTCAGGTCCTTGCATTTACTGTTCTTTCAGCCCAGAAACGATTTTTCTACAAACTTACATGGCTTTCTTGCTTAACTTCCTTCAAGGTCTCTGTTCAAATATCACTTATAAAAGAATTCTGTGACCACCCCTTCGCTAACCTCTAGCATTCTCTCCTTTGCCACTCTACCCCTGCCTCTACTCTAATTTTGCTCACAGCATTGACCACCATCTGGCACAGTATATGCTTTTGGTTTACTGTCTGCCCCCTTCTACAGAACTTACAGGGCAGGGATTTCTTTCTCTGGCTTATTGCTCTCTTTCTATGCCTGGAATATTATGGTTCTCAATAAATATTTATTAAATGAAGGGAAAATGAATTAATTCCAGTAACTTCTATTAAGTGATATATTAGACTGTTTTATTAGTATAAGGAAATACCTGAGTTGGGTTAATTTCATGAAAAAAAAAGAGGTTTATTTAGTTCATAGTACTGAAGGTTCAAATTCCAAGACTGTGTGGCTATATCCATCAAAGACAGCTTTGGTAAGGTGGAGAACAATATCACAATGGCAGGGGCATGTGTGGGAGGGAAAAAAATCACATCTTAAAACAGGAAGCTGCAATTCAGGGGTGGGCTCACTCTTTAAGAACTTGCTCTCAGAAAATCTCAAGGGTCTCACAAAGGTTATCTTAATCCCTCAGGAGGGCAGCTCCTCCAAAGACTGAAGAACTGCTCAACTCCCAACATCACCACTGTGGGAATCAAGTTTCTAACACATGAACCCTTGGAGGACAAACCGTACCCAAACTGTAGCAGGTGGCTGCTATATAGTGAGGACTTGTGCTAGGAAATGAGGGTAAACACAAAGTCAAGTAATAATTTACTATGCACCTACTATATGCCAGACCTTTTGTGAATATTTTATTTTATTCAGTCAACTAACCTTCTTCCTTGCCTCTCTCTTTTTCTATAGCTGAGGGCCTACCATGTATTACAAAGTACTGGAAACATTGGAGATAAGGCTATAAATAAAAAATGAAACTAAATCTCAGAAAATTGAATACTTTACCCAAATGTTATAAAATTCATATTTCAATATATCTGGGAGGGTAGAGCACAATACAAGGCACAAAGTAATTACGCAACAAAATTATTATTTGATTATGCCAACTGTACTCCATATTTACCTCTCATTTCTAGAAGAATGAGATGTAACAAATATAGCATGTGTCCATAGTCCCACACTGGAAAATCTATATTACCATGTAAAAGTTGTTAGCTATTTATTTTGGTTCCTTTTTTTAAATGTAATTTTATTGTTGCTGTTGTTTTCTACCACTCTCCAACTACATATGTATTTCTCCCTTAGTACTATTACCCTCCAACAAGTTTTACTTTGATAAATTGTGTCTAGTTTTTCTTTCAAATCTACTAAGTACACACCTCTTCTATAAGCCTCTCAAGACTAATTCAACCTGAATAAGTGATTTCTACCATCTGTTTTCTAACTGTCCATATATGGAATAATCAAAACCAATTTTCTTTGGGTATATGTGAGTTAGATTTAATTAGGTATTCAGTAATGACTGGCCATAATAACTAGAGTTTCATTTATACTATTATCAAGGGTAATCAGCTATTATATATATATTTTTTCTCTTGGTCTTGGTGTGTAGCTCTGCTATTGAGCTACCACATCCAATCATTTGGTACTTTTAAATTTTGCTTTCTTGATCATCAAAGTCAGTAGGCACCCTCCTCAGAAGCAAGCTGATTCTGTATATGCTTTGTGCTATTGGTTTGGGCATGATTTGAATGCAAACCCCAAGCTCCATCTTAGTCCCTAGTATGGTAGTGCTGAGAGAATGGTGATATCTCTACGTGGTAGGGCCTACAGGGAGGTCCTTAGGCCACTGGGGAACTGCACTTAGAAAGGATTAAGGTAAGTTCTGTGGGACTCTGAAGCTCTTGTGAGAGCAAGCTGTTATTAAGAACAAACTTGACTTATTTATTCTTTGGCTTTCTGTTTTAAAATGTGATTTATGCTTCCTGCATATGCGTCTGCCACAGTACCTTGTGGCTCTCATCAGAGTTGAACCAATGCCAGCAGTTTGTCCTTAAATCTCTAGTGCTAAATAAACCAGTTTTCTTCATAATGTTAGCCTGCCTCAGGTATTTCATTACAGTAATGAAAAACAGACTAATATAGAAAATTGGTACCAAAGTGGCACTGCTACTATAACTATACCTGAAAATGTGGAGGCAGCTTTAGAATTGGGAGATGAGTAGAGAATGGAAGAGTTTGGAGGAG